TGGCGGTTGTTTGAAGGCGAGAAGTGGAGGCATAGGGAAAATCTTGGGAAGGTACCCATCATCATCGAAAATGGTGTAGTTTTTCTGCTCCTGGGAAGTACTGGATGATGAAGGGTACCCTATCGGTTTTATCCCATGTCTGTCTTCTGAGGAGGTCATTACGCTTTTCCGCTGGTGATCGATCAGTTGAGCATTATATCCCGTTCTTATGACATCGTCCTTCAGCACGTTCAGGTCTCCCTCATGTTCCTCCTCATCTGAACAGACTCTTTGTATGTGTATGTATATTTTTGAGGGTGCTCAGTTTCTCTTAGAAATCTGAAGTGTCATGACAGAATCTGGGGGCTACCTGTACAATGGGTTTTAATATGTCCTTGACATAGCCAGAGAGGTTCTCACGCAATGTCCCATTGTCTGATACGATAGGACGTTCAGTTGTATTGGTTTTTTGTATGTTCAGAAGGCAGTCCCCTATGCGAGGAATATGCAGAATGAGAGTACGTACGATCCTCTAAAGGGCTGGATCAAAAGTCTTGATCAGTCTGTTGAGTTCACGGGTGTGTTCTTTGGTTGGATTGACAGGTAGTGTTATGTAGAGTTCCTTGTTGTTCAGGTATCTGTACAGTTCCTTGCATTAGTCCGTTCTATTATGTATGACAATGGCTCCTCCTTTGCTGATTTACTGATAATGTTTCGACTGGTCTTGAAAGCATGGGCGGTGTTGCATTGTGCGCGGGTGACACTTTGTGCTACCATGTGAGTGCAACTGATGAATCTAGTGTTCACACATTCCCTGACGGCTTCAGCACACATGTCAAGCCCAGGGCAATGGCCCTCCAGAGGAGTCCAATTCGACTCCTTCTTTGACCGCTCCACGACGGATATCTCTGCCGAAAGTTCCGGTTCGTTAGTTGTCTTATTGGGCTCGCTGCTGACACCTTGGAAGAATTCCTGGAGTCTCATTCATCTGACGAATTCCTCTGTGTCTGCTTCATTACGAATAGAATCCGCTTTGATGGTGGGACAGAAGTTGAGCCCTTGGCTGAGAACTTCAATCTTGTCCGATAGAAGGGTGTGATAGATAAGTTGATGATGGATTTCCCCTTGGTGGCATCGTTTTCAACTGTGGTAACAAAGGAGGCTTGGCCATTGCTGGTGTTGATGCTAAGTTTTTTCCAGTTTCTTGCTCTTGGTGTGCAATTAGGTGGTGTAGTTCAGTTGCCTTATCTGCTCGGCAGTGTCTCGTACCTGTGCTGCTGTATCTTGAGTGCAAGCTGAGAATATGGACTCTGTCTTGATTTCAAAGTTACAGCACCTGCTGCAGCGTTGGTGTACGAGATGATTGAGGAGTTTCCAAGAGGGACCACGGCAAAGTCTCTCAGTATAAATCCACGTTGTATGTCGACTTGAGTTGGTTCATGATCTGTGGTCCACTTACGATCTTCTCTGCTTTCTTGCACTTCTGTAGAAACTTGATGTCTGTGTTGATATGCGCCATCTGCTTGGAGTTGCTCTCCACTATGAGCCAGCATGTTGCAGTGTCAATGGTAGTCATGATGTGGAGGTGCTGGTGTTGGACTGGAGTGGACAACATCAAAAATTATGCACCAGGTTATAGTCCAACAGGTTTATTTGAAGACACAAGATTTTAGAGTCTCGCTCCTTCTTTAGGTGTTAGTAAGAGAGGTAGCATCAGACACCGAATTTATCAGCAAAACATCAAAGGGCCAGAGAACTGATGCGAATGTATTGAACAAACCTAAGATGGCTGTTAATTCTTTAATCAATTAGGAAAGATCAATATGCAAATCGCAGAATTTCTTTCAATTCACTGCCCCGAGATAACTAAAGATTTTATCAGTATACCAGAGGTGAAATCTCTGGTCAGGCAATGCATTTTAGGTGTGAGGCCTTGTTTAGAATCTGGCTGTATATTAACTTGGAGACAGACAGGTTTTATTTTCAAAGTTGGAATTTATAAAATGCCACATTGACTGCCTACAAATTGTGTGCTTTTTGAACAAATTAAAATACAAAGCAATAGAATATAAAACATAAAACATTCGCATCAGTTCTATGATCCTTTGATCTTTTGCTGATAAATTCTGTGTCTGAAGCCACCTTTCTCATTGATACCTGAAGAAGGAGCGAGACTTATAGAGAATAATTCACTTTCCAATTACAAACTCCATGCTCATTTCCAAGCCCATCAACAATAAACCGAATTATCAGAAAGTAACTTCTGCAGTTAACCTGAACCTGATACCCATATACAACTGCATGATGCTAGATAGTTTGGTTTACTGTATTGCTCGTATAGACATCTTCTCTGCTGGTAGGTCATTGATTAGTTTGAAACCAAGCTGTGGGAACTGACTGTAGCTGTTACTTTGCTTATATGCAGATGATGACTAGTTGAGCATACTTTGTTCATGCATATTGTCATGGGTTAGAATTTCGTATTGTGGAAATAAGGTATTGTGTTTGACTGATAAATAGTATACATTCTATGAGGGCAAAAGCGATAACAGTTTAATGAGGGGGACAATTTGGTCAGCTGTAGGGAATGTTGGACACGAAAGCAGAAATTAGATCTAGATCACGATTTTAAAAAAAATAATTGTAATCTGTAAACTTTGTTTACTAACTGCAAAGTAATGTTTTGCGAAGTGGTTTAACTGTCCAATTATTTTGTTATTTATATTCATGTTTCTGGCAAAAAATTGAAAGGTTTCACAAAAGGTTTACAGGGATGTTGCCCGAGTTGGAGGATGTGGGCTATAGGGATGGGCAGAATAGGCTGGGGCTATTTTCCCTGGAGCGTCGGATGCAAAGGGGGGACCTTTTAGAGGTTTATGAAATCATGAAGGGCGTGGATAGAGTGAATAGCCAAGGACATTTTCGTAGGGCAACGAGAATCCAAACTAGAAAGCATCGGTTTAAAATGAGAGGGGAAAGATTTAAAAGGGATCTAAGGGATCATGCGGAAGGCGGTGTGTATATATGGTTTGAGCTAACAGAGGAAGTGATGGAGGCTCGTAAATTACAACATTTAAAGGCATCTGGATGGGTACACGAGTAGGAAAGGGTTAAATGTTGGCAAATGGGACTAGATTAATTTAGTATATTTAGTCGCCATGGACGAGGTGGACTGAAGAGTCTGTTTCCGTGCTGTACGACTCTTAAGTTCTGAAGGAATATTGCTCTGATTTTCTTGTCGAAAACCAGGAATCAAGGGAAAATGGGTTGATATCTCGTGGTGTATTATGTTATTTGATTTTTAAACAGCACTGAAATAAATGAACATGAATCTTACTTCCTAAATTCTTGCAACTAACATTGTTTAAAAGACATTTGGATAAGTTAATGACAGGAAAGGTTTGAGGAATATGGGCCAAACGCAGGTAAGTGGGATTAGTTTACTTTGAGAGTATGGTCGGCGTGGACTATTTGGACCAAGTGTCTGTTTCCAAGCTGTTTGACTCCATGACGATTTATTTAGGAAGAGTTATGTTCCCAAATTGCCAGCAGAGGGCAGCTTGTTCTGTTTTGCTTGCGAAATGTATCTCCTTTTTTGTGCTTATATGACGAACAGCATTTGTAATGCGCAATAATGCATACCTGCAATCGAATTTTTTTACTTTGGCAAACATTGCGCACTCTCGTTTATCATCTAAGGAGTTAGCAGAGAGTTTCTGCCTTTCAGCCAGAAAATACGCTTTAAACCCCATACGATAGGAACACACCCTTTACGTATAATAAGCTATTTCTATTTAGAGCACCAATAATGTTCTGAGCTGTTCTGTGACATCATGGCAGGGATTTAGCTTTTTTTTTGCCCGGAGTAACTATGAATGATTCCGAGAATTACCCTTGAAATTTAAAAAAAGGACAGTCTATCATGAATTTTAAAAAAAACACAAAAGATTCGTGTTATTTAGGGTGTTTTAGAGACAGTAACGCTTAACATGGCGAATGAAGAGGTAAAATTTCGCGGCTGCTGTGATCTTGCATCAGAGCTATTTTGATGATCGTGAAAGTAGAATCCAGATGTACTTTCAAGTCATCACTCACATACGAATTAAAGAGTCTTGATCAATCAGACCCAGAAGTCTTTATTAATTTATACCAAAAACGATGTTGTGATGTCGATAACACAGAGAGAGTGAGAGATACAGAGAAAGACAGAGTGAGAGAGAAAGACATACATTTGGCAGAAATACAAACTCAATCTTTCATGTATTGAATTACGATTCATAGTTTCCTCAAAAATGGCATATTATGAGTTAGTTTCCCCTCTCGCATACAGTATATACGTCGGTAATACTTGAATGTTTCTGAAACGGGCATTCCTATTGGCAAAGATTTAAAATTGACGAAATCAGAGTGAAAAAAAGTCCTGACCGAATTATGTATACAAACTTCAAACTTTATTTTTCAATAGCAAAATGCTATTCGTTTACAAAAAGTAGTATACCTCTATTTGTGTGCCGTGATTCAAATCACACCAGTTGCGATGGATTGCAATCTTTCTGCCTTCAGGGCACCAGCTGTGATAAAGTGATTATATCATGAGCATCTGCCTTGTGGCATTCTAGCCGTGATCGTATAACCATCTGGAGAGGTGTGTGATAAAAACAGCGATGGCTCGAGAATAACAGCAAATCTGGCAACGCCCGTCGAGAGAAAACACAGTGAACCTATTGAATCAAGTGGGCGTTTCATTAGAGCAAGAGTACATGATTAATAGTGGATGATTGATAAGGCTAGTTGGAAAGAAGTAAAATATTGTGCATGTTTATAGATCATTTAAGATCAGCAGACAGATCGAATTGTTAGCTACTATCGGGAGAACAAGGAAACAGACAATCCTGGTACTTTATAAAGCATTGGTTAGACCGTACCTCGATCATGTTGTAAAAGACCAACTATTTTAATAATGCCACCTAACAAAGGAAATCCTCTGGCTTTAACCGTTTTACACGTCTTCGGACTTTGAGGGAAGTGGGTGTGGGACCTAGAGAACTCCGCGGAAATCCACGCAGGCACGGCGAGAACGCGCAAAACAACAAAGACGGCCACAGAAGTCTGGAATCGAAACCGGGTCCATGGAACTATGAAGCAGTAATGCTAACCACAGAGTCGCGGGCCGCCCTTCAGATTATGAGATATAAACAACACAGGCGTATATGTTGAGGATTTTTCATGGAACAAATATTTCTTAAGCATTTTGAGGAAAATGCGTGCTTCCAGAGGAAAAATCATCCAAGACCTCTCCCACCCAGGTTCTAATCTCTTTCAACCTCTTCTGCCGGGTCGGATATACAAAATGTGGAGGTGACGGTGTTAGACTGGGTTGGACAAGGTCAAAAATCACATGACACAAGGTTATTGTCCAACAGGTTTATTTGAACACATTAGCTTTCGGAGCGTTGCTCCTTCCTCAGGTCTAGTGAGAGAGGAGGTATCAAGACATAGAATTAATAAGTTAAAAAAAAAGTCAAAGGATTACACAACTGAATGTAGTTAATAAACTTAAAATGGTTGGCTGACACCCTCCAGTTAGGTCCTTAATCAATTAGGAATCAAGGTGCAGGTTTTGATTGATTAAAATACAAACTCCAGAATTTCTTTCAAGTCAGCACAACCGAAATAACGAAAGGTTTAATCAGTGCATACCAAGAGGTGACATCTCAGGTCAGCCAATGTAGTTTAGGTGTGAGGCCTTGTTTAGAATCTGTCTGTGTTTTAACCTGTAGTGAGTAAAGCAGGAATTTATAAAATGCCCCATTAACTGACAGTGTCTACAAATTGTGTGGTTTTTGAACAAAATACAAGGTATCTGCAAATGTAGATCTGCAAATGCAAATCCACCCCATATATTTGTGTGTGCGTGTGTGTGTGTGTGTCTGTGTGTGTGTGTGTTTGTGTGTGTGTGTGTGTGTGAGAGGGAGGGAGGGTGGTGGAGAGAGAGCGAGAGCGAGAGAGAGAATGTGCGTGTGTGTGTGGGAGAGAGAGATTCTCAGATGAGGAGGAACGCAACGGACAGGTGGAGGTCTTGATAGACCCCCTCAAAGAATGGAATACGATGCTCAAGTCATCGATCGCCAGTTTTGATGGGCCGCAGTGAAAAACGGTAATGACTTCCTCAGAAGACAGACATGAAATAAGACCGATAGAGTGCCCTTCGTCGTCCAGTACTACACGAGAGTGGAGAAACTATGCCATGTTCTTTCCAGCTTTCAACACATTATCGATGATGATGGCACCTCACCACATCTTCCGTATGCCTCCACTTCTCACCTTCAAACAACCTCGAAACCTTAAACAGACCATTGTCTGAAGCAAACTACCCATTTATTTCTCAATATTGATTTCCTTCTTTAGAAAGTGGATGAAATATCTTCAATGATAATTCCCAATTGCTTATACTTAAGTCGTCAGTGAGGTTTTCAACAGAAACATCAATTTCTAATTACTCCAGAACAGAGTAGCGAACTTGATTTCGTTTGATTTGTTGTATTATTGACACATGTAACTGATTACAGTGAAAAGTTTTGTTTTGCTCGCAGTACAGGCAGATTATACCATGGAAAGTGTAGTAGGGTAATAGAACACAGCGAAGAATACAATGTTATGGGTGCAGAGAATCTGCACAACGGAAGGGATCAATATTAAATTTAAATTTTGAGAGCTCCATTCAGAGCAGCAGAGAAGAAGCCGGCCTTGAATCTATTGGTACGTGTGTTTAAGCTTCTGTATATTCTCAAGGTTAAAAATCGCATGACACAAGGGTATAGTTGAACAGGTAAGCTTTATCATGAAACAACTGCACAATGCAACACATCCATTTTAGCTTGGGATATTGGATCACCCTCTTTAGCTAGAACTTAGATAATCGTCATTTCAATTTCTGATGCAAGTGGCAATTCCCTGCGTTTTAGACAGTCATCATACAATATGTATCTAATGGAGAATAGGACTTCTGGTATATTTTTTTTCCTGTTACCGCTTTGAATCTTAATACAGAAGAACTCATCTCCTATTCTATCCTGCAGAAAATGATGCAAGATGATTCTACTGCTCGCTACATCACAATAAACTAAACAAAAACTTAGAACATCATTCTGTTTCACTCCGTTTACTATGATGAGTGGAAAATGAAGCAGATCAAATTTAAATCACGTTTACTCTGGAGAAATCAGAGCGTTGCAAAATGTTATCAAGCAAAACAGTTGTAGTAGCTAAAAGTAAAATATGTTGAAGAAGGGCAGTGGAGAACCGAATTTTTCAATCCTCTTGGCAAACCAAGGAAACAGTCCATATAGGTCCCCTGAACATATATAAATTTCGTTGTGCTGAAACTATCTCTGATCTAAATGAATATTTAATGCCAGGTTCCGCATCAACAAGCATCTTTTTTTCCCCAGTTGTCATCATATTTTTTTGTATTGAAATGCAAACACGACCAAAATAGAATGATTTCCATTGCCTTATAATTCATTGTTGTTGCTTGTTTAGGAATTGGAATGATAACTTTAATCTGGCACATATGCTGTACAGATTACTGAACCTTTATATACCTGTTCATGTGTTCTCTGTTTCTGAGACTTATCATTACACAGTTTGTTTAACACCAAAATTGTCCAGGAATGTTTTGTTTTCAGTTCTAGAAAACTGTCATTCCACGGTACCACAGAAAGATATTCGTGCTCTTGAAACCACTGTATAATAGGATTGTTTACAGTAAATACAATTATCACACGAGGGAATGCCAGGAGTGGTAAAAGGTATAGCGAAAAATGAGATGCAAACCTGATGCAGCTACCAATCGGATTTACTTGCATGCTGTGCTGCATTAGCAGCATATGATAGATAGTGCCAAGCGATTCCACAACTAACAGATCATATCTAAGCTCAACAGTCCTACTACATGCAATCATCAATGCTGGTGGATTATTAAATAACTAACTAGAGGTGGAGGCTCAACAAATATCCCCATCCTCAATGATGGAAGATCCCAGCAAATTAGTGCAAAAGATGAGACTGAACCAGAATTGTCGAGTGGACGAACCTACTGAGCCTCCTTCAGTGGTCTCCAGCATCACAGATGCTAAGCTTCAACCAATTCGATTCTATCCAAGTGTTATCAAGAAACGAATCTAAGCACTGGATACTGCAACATTCCAGTGTCAGTACTGAGTATTCGCGCTCCTGAACTTGCTGCTTCCTTATCAAAGCTGTCCAGTCCAGCTACAACTCTGTCATCTACCCAACAAATTGCAAAATTGCCCAGTTATGTCCTGTACCCAAAAAGTGGGCAAATCCAACCCAGGCACTTGCTGCCCCATCAGTCTACTTTTGATCATTAGTAAAATAATGGATGATGTCATCAACAGTGTTATCAAACAGCATCTGATTAGCACAACCTGCTCACTGACACTCAGTCTGGGTTTGAGCAAGGCCATTCAGCTCAATACAGACTTGATTCCAAAATGGACAAAAGAACTGAAATGGAGAGGTGAGAGTAACAGCCATTTTAATGGGGGTGACATCAAGGAGCCCTGGTAAAAAAGCGGAATCAATGGGAATCATGGAGAAGACTCTCCAACATTTGGAGTCATACCTGGCACGTAGGAGTATTGTAGTGGCTGCTGGAGTCATTTCAGCGCCAAGGCATCTCTACAATTCCGACGGATCATGTCCTAGACGCAACCATCTTCAACTGCTTCATCAATAACCATCCCTCCAACATAAGGTCAGAAGTGAAGATGTTTGGCAACGATTGCACAATGTTCAGCACCATTCATGACTTCTCAAATAAATAAGCTGTCCATGTTCAAATGCAACAAGATCCAGGCAATATCCAGGCTTGGGCTGACAAGTGGGAGGTAGCATTTGCGCCATGCAAATGCCAGGCAATGACCATCTCCAATAAGAAACGATCTAAACACAAGCCCACGGCATTCAATAGTGTTACCAGCAGTAAATGTCCCATTATCAGCACCCTTTGGATTATCCTTGATCAGAAACATAATTAGATTCGCCATAGAAATGCAATGACCGCAAGAGCAGATCAGAGGCCAGGAATACCGCAACAAATAACTTCCCTCCTGATTCCCCAAATTCCATCCACCGTCCACAAGGCACAAGTGGGGAGTATGATGGAATACCTCCGACTTGCCTGATGATTGCCGCTCCAACAACATTCAAGAAGCTGCACACTATATATGTTAAAGCAGCCACTTATTAGCACCACATCCACAAACATCGACTGCCTCCAAAACGAATGCATTGAGCACTATCTACAACAGACATTTCAGAAATTCACGAAATACCCTGAGATAGCACCATCCAATCCCACGACGACTTTCACCTAGAAGGATAATGGTTGCATATATTTAGAAACATCACAACCTGCTAGGTCATCTCCAAACCACTCATCATCCTTACTTGGAAATATATCACGTTCCTTCACCGCTGCTGAGTCAAAAATCCCTAAAATTCCCTCCTAATGGCATTGTGGGTCTACCTGCAACACAAGTGCTGTTGAAGCGGTTCAAAGGGCAGCTCAAACCACTTTCCCAAGGACAATTTAGGATGGGCAATGAATGCTGACCAGGCAGCGATACCCACGTGCCTTGAATGAATAATTTTAAAAATCGGAACGTTAGTGTTATATCATGTATCTCTGCGAGAAATTGACATATTACTTGAAAAACTGCGCACGCCTGTTTCATATATGCGAAACAATCGTGGACGCAGCTGACGCAAATGTTGGTGAAAATTACTGTGAAACTAATCTAACTTTGAGCAAAAGAAATGATACTGTGGATGATGGAAATCTACAATATAAAGGAAGGGCGCAGAAAATCCCGGAGAAACTCAGCATGTATAGAAGCAAAAACAATAAAGCAGATTACTACCTGAATAGCTGTAAATGCAGAGGGGATTGTACAGCGGGACCCCCGTGTCCTTGTGCACCAGTCCATGAAGGTAAGCAAGTGCAGCAGGAGGTAAAGAAGGCAAATTTATGTTGTCCTTCATTGCGAAGAGGTTTCGACTACAGGAGTAAGGATGTGTTGTTGCAGTTATACAGGTCCTTGGTAAGGCCACACTTAGAATGTTTTCTGCTGTTTTGGTCTCCTTTTCTAAGGAAAGATGCTCTTGCTGTCAAAGGAATGCAGCGAAGGTTTACCAGGCTGATTCCTGGGATGGCGGCACTGGCGATTGAGGAGAGATTGACAAGGTTAGGATTGTTTTTGCTGGAGTTCGGACGAATGAAGGGGTTTCACTTAGAGACTTATAAGATTCTAACAGGGCTGGACAGGGTAGATGTAGGGAGGATGTTCCCGATGGTAGGTGTGTCCAGAAGCAGGGATCACAGCTTGAGGATTCGGGGTAGACAATTCAGGCCGGCGGTGAGGAGACATTTCTTCACCTAAAGGGAGGTGATTCTGTGGAATTCATTACCACAGGAAGTAGTTGATGCCAAAACATTGAATGTATTTAAAAGGTGACTAGACATAACACTTGGAGCGATAGGGATCAAAGGTTATGGGGAGAAAGCAGGATTAGAATATTGAGTTAGATGGTCAGCTATAATCGTGAGGAATGGCGGAGCAGGCTTGAACAGCTGAATGGCCTCCTCCTGCTCTTTTCTTCTATGTTTCTATGTTACAGACAAAGTAAGAAAAGAAAATAGTCATATCGAAGTTAAGGGACGGAGAATAAATGGTAGCACTAGGGCAGGATTCGAGAATAGATATGAGGGCAGAGAAAAAAAGTCTAAACGGCCTGTTTACCTGAACTAATGTTGCATTCATTTAAAAAAAATAGCGATAGTGCACATCGAAGTAAATAAATATGATCCAGTGGCAACTGGGACATGTAGCTGCAAGATGAGAAGCAGTATGTCCGCAACATTGACGAATCTCTGACAGTCAACAAGAATTAAAAGCAAGGCAATGGAGGAGGGATAACACTGCTAATCAAGGATACAATTTCTGCAATATTTAGTGATGATAGTGGATTGTGATGTAAAATCTGTTTTGGTAATGACGAGGAATGTTATGAATATAAGTCACTAGTTTGAATTGTCTGCACGCCCTCTTAACACCACCACAAAGTAGGATAAAATGTACCGGAATATTAAGTAATTGAGATGAAGAGATGGCAAGAAGTGTGGGTGATTTTAATTTACTCATGAAATGGAGCAATCAAATTAGCAGTTGCATCTTGGATTATGTGTTTATGGAATGCTTTGGAGGCTTTGTTTTTAATTATTTCCTGCTGGAACCGACTAGATAATATTTTGCATTAGACTTGTTATGGTGCAAGTTGACATAATTAATTAATGCCCTCAGTGTCAATGATCCCTTAGACAGCAGCGCCCAAATTATAATCTAATAACGTTTTGACAAAGATGTAAGAAGTTGACAGGAACGTCTATATAGTTTGAGGGAGGGGGCATCAATCTGTCAGATGGAGAAACTTGGGAACTTTCAAGTTATTCACTTTGGCAGGAAGGAAAACCAATTGGAGTATTACAAAGATGAAGGACTTTGGAAACCCAAGGTGCAGAAACATTTAGATATTCTGGTGCAAGGGTCACAATATAGGCAGGCACAGCCCGCACTCAAGAAGATGAATGGATACTATACTTTGTTATGGGACTATGGAACACAAAGTACACATTCAATTGTATAAAGCAGTGGTGAGACCACATCTCGAACACTGTGTATCATTATAATCTCCTTTCTTAAGGAAGAATGTAAATGTACTGGAAGTGGTTCGGAGGAGGTTTGCTAGATTGATTTCTGAAATGAGTCGGTTGTTTGTTATGGATAGTTTTGACAGGCTGGTATTGTTTCCACTGAAGTTTACGAAAGTGAGAGTGACTTGGTTGGTGTGTGTGAGGTCCTGAACAGTGCTGACAAGGTGAAAGTAGGAAGGATGTTTCTTCTTTTGGATATGCCCAACTGGTATGCTCTGCTTTAGAATAAGATTTCTTGCATTCATAAGAGAGAAGAGCAGGTTATTTTCCCTCTCTGTCAGAAGTGTGTTCACCTTTAGATCTAAAAAAACAGTTAGACAAGAGAAACAATGGTTATAGAGGGGGGAATTGGAAATGTGGAATTTGAAATACGACCAGATCATTCGAGATCTTATTGTATGGTGGAACAACGACTTGCTACTTCATTGTCTTGTATTTCGCACACGTCCAAGAACAGAGTCTTATGCCTCAGAAGTATAAAACCCTCCTTCCTTCACCATTTCTCTTGCCAGCGTTCATTTCACTCCATCTCTTATTTCTCTATACTTATTAGCTCAAGGTACTATGAGTAACTGTGGAATTACTGCCTCACGCGTCCTGGTTTTTGATATATTGCTAGCTCCCCAAACTCTGCTTCAAGATCTCATCCCTCTCTGTAGTTGTGTTTTTGGCATGTATGTGACCACGACTTCTATTGGTGCACTCTGTGTGCTGCATCCTATCCACGGTATCCTTGATTCTGGCATAGAGTGGCAACATGTCATTCTGCCGTTTTTAATTTATCCATTCGATACGAGAGTCACTGGCTGCACCAGTATTTATTGCATATTCCTAACTGACATGGGGAATATGCTGATTGTTATCTTCTGGAACCATTGCAGTTAGTGGATGGCGTAAAGCAAGTTAGGACCAACTATGTTAAGAAAAAAAATGAGTTCCACGATTTTGATCCACTGATCATAAACGAATGGTGATATACTTCCAGTCATTTTGTAGCTGGGAGGTGTACTTTCAGCAGTGATGTTTCCATGAATCTGGTGACCCTCTCCTTCAAGATATCAGGTAAATCCATGAGCCTGTGAATTTCAAAGGTTCTATTCAAGAAGTCGCAGACAGTGACTAGAATGCATCATAGACTGTATAGACTGCTATCATTGAGCATCATTTGTTGCACGTGCATGCTAGATATGGTGAGTGGGGTGTAACTAAAGCTTGTTGCTTGTCTTTGATGATAATGGACTTCTTGAGTGTTTATTTTTATACTCTTTGAGCGGTCTTCAGCCAGGCAAGTGGAGTATCTTCTATTGTACACCTTTCTGGTGCTTTGCAGACAGTGGAAAGGCTTTTGGGATCAGGAGATGAGTCACTCGGTGCAGGATACATAGCTTCAGACCTGCTTTGTTCCCATTCTGTTTACATCACTGGCCTAGTTCATTTTCTGGTAAAGGTGAAAGACCAAATGGTTAATTGTTGGGAATTGGGCAACGGAAAAATAAAATCAATGGTAAGGGACGGTGTTGAGATTGTTTCTTGTTGGAGCTGGTCATTGCTTTGTACTTGTTTGCTGCGAAAATTTCGAGAAACTTATCAGTTTAAGACCGTACGTTCTGAATATCTTGCTGTATTGTCGTGGGCTGATAATTTAGGACTAGTTCTGAAGATAATTGCTGATGTTGATAAAAAATGATTGGGCCCAAAACTCTACCTTAATGAATTTCTGCAGTTTATGAGATGATTGATCGCCAACGTCTTCCTTTCCGCTAAATATGGCACCCATACATGGTGCATTTTTAAACTGATTCTCATTTGTTCATTTTTAGATACTGTGTCAAATATGGCCTTGAAGCTAACGGTAGTCACTCTGAACTCACTTCCGATATTCGGCTTTTTTTTTTCTATGTGCATAAAGTTATCCATAATAAAGTGGTCAGCGTCGTTGCAAGCCCACTGTAAACTAAACTGAATTCCAATGCGCGTTCGTAACAGCGCAAATGTTGCTGTATAGAGTTGACTTGTACCTGTTTCCTAGCATTGCAGCTGATCGACAGTGGCCTCGAACTTTCGTGTTTTATTTGTAGTCTGGACATAGCTGGCAAACTTTCCTCACTGCGCAATGTGAACTGCGCACTTACCATGGTCTTCTAAATCCTTATCGTGCCGTCAAGTCCTGACGTGAGTTCGAATCTGTCGACCAGTAGACGAGAGTAATGATGGCAAAACTGCGACATTTTTTGTCACAATGCACCCAATAATATGTCATTTTACTTAATTCACGTGCTCTCTTTTGAAATAGACCTTTCTACGTCGGAAACGTTACAGCCTTGCCTTTGACATTTTTCACTCAATATCCTCCCCACAGTCTGGATAGTATTCCAGTCCTGTTTCCATGGGAACATTTACTCTCCAGTGCCCTTTCCTCCTGCGCATAGTGCACAATATTCAAACTCCCGCACATGTGATATTGATAATACTTCTCACTCGCAGGAAAACGTTCACCCCTCATTTCCCGAAATTGCTACCTTTTCTTCCTTCGCTGACAATGTTTTTCGCCTTCCATGAAGATGACCGCTCATCTCCTTCACTCCCCGCGCACCTTCAGCAGGTCACCACGAAAAATGTAACTTTCCCCTAGTATCTGCGACCTTCCCCTATCCAACCCGCAACACTGTTGTCATTTTTGATATTAGTGTTCAGGAATTAAGATTTCTGGAATTTATGTCATGCAGGTGGGCGGCGGGGAAGGAGGGTGGTGGGGCTGGTGGGGAAGGGTGCACTGTGGTAAACTTTGTCAGGGAGGGATCGAGCAGTCTCTGGAGAGGTGACTGACGAGAGAGGCGTGAATGCTGTCCGCATGGAGTACATTGTTGGAGAGGGGGGTGACAAATGCGTTATCGCTTGGAACCATCGCACCTCAACTGATGTATTTCGCTTTGTACTCCTTCGTAGCCTTCACGTCCACCAAGGAAACTCAAATTAAATCGATATGTTAAAAAAAAAAGAAAAATAAGAATAATTGTCGGAGGAACAGTCTTCTTGGATATAGCTGTCTAATTCCTTAGCCCCTTAAAGAATCAGGTAGTAGTCGTGCACAATCATCAACAGAATGTTAAAACGCTTCGCATGAGTATGCGCATGTGTGTGGTGGAACGCCTTCTGCAACTAAAGGCCCCTGGGCGACATTTGAGTCATTCGCCGAATCGTACTTATAAAGACTTTTATTGGACACTACTCTTGAATGTTGTTTCAGTTTTAATGAAACGTTGCAGAAGTTGGGCTTGTGCTCCTAAGGGCAGATACGGGAAAGGGAAAACCTACAAGAAATAGTTGAGATTATATGCTGTTTTTAATGGACAAGTGGAAACAGATGTTTTCTCTCTTGAGTGGTGATTTAACCAAAGCCATTTTTTGTTTATTTTTGAAATTGCCAAATAACACATAGATAATGCAGGTTCTCAGCTATTGGAATTTGCGATCCTGAACACATTACCTTGACAAGTGATGGAATCAATTTGTGTAGGAACTGTTACAGGCAATTCATCATACATTTAACTGGACGATTTTATAGACCTATCGAGGAATAGGGCATGGGAATCAACTGGACAGCTTTCTCGGCGTGGCACATTAACACGCAGCCAAATGGCTACTTTTTGTACCTTTAAAATCTGTTTTATTAATTGACCCTTTTAATTTGGATTGCGAATGTGCTATTCTCCTCTGCAGATATTAAGAAATAAAGCAAAATACAAAGTGAAATTCGCTGACAAATTGGAGATCAGGAAAGCAATGTTAAAAATTGAGGGTAAAACATATTGAAACAATATTGTAAACCGTGTTTCAGAAAATGCTATTGAGAATACTTAACTGATTTTTTTTCTGGTCATCATCATGGTACATTTCAATCTTAAAAGCACATGTCGTCAGAAAGAAAACATTATTGACGGAGAGTATTTGACAGTCACACACGTTTACGAGGTCAAAGACACATGTGGATGAGGGACAAATGATAAATGTTAGTCATGATTTTTAGAAGTATTTTTTTAAGAAACAAATGAATGTATTAGCGGTATTGGAATTTCTTTTTCATAAGTAGAGGCTATTTGTGTTGTACAAGGTTAATTAGAAATTATCTATGGCCTGAAACATCCTCGCTTTAATGCTTGAATTGGGTTGGACTCTGCGTGACGCTTTCTACCAATAGAAAGCACAGTTGTTCCGAGAGATCTACCCCTCCTTCACCTCTAATCGGACTCGAACAAGAAGACAAAGAACCTCTGCAGCTAAGTATTGCGGCGTTGTTCTTCAAGGCGGAGGTTAAATATTCACGTTTATTTTCAACTTTAGCATCGCTATTTGCAGTTATTGTGGCTTCTCGGAAGAAATAACTGAGTGCAAACGGCTCAAGACAAATCCTTGTTCCGTATTCACGTCGACTTTAGCAACAAAATAACATGACAGAGGAGCAGAGCATTAGCGCAGCATCGCGCACTCTGCTTAATTTAATTCGCTTAGTTCTCGTGATTGATGTCGTTTTTGGACAAATTCAGTATTCAGTTCCCGAGGAAATAGAGCATGGAGCTTTCGTGGGGAACATTGCTAAAGATTTAAATTTAAATATCAGGAGACTGATTGCTCGGAAATTTCGTCTCGTCACTGATGGCACGAATAAATACTTCGATGTAAACTTACGAAACGGGATTTTATTTGTTAATGAAATAATTGACAGAGAGCAAATCTGTGGACATATTTCAACCTGCGTAATTTCATTTGAAGCCGTGATGGAAAAACCATTGGAAATATACAGGGTTGACGTGGAGGTAAGAGATATAAATGATAATTCACCTACTTTTGCAAAGGGCAAGATTTTCGTTGAAATCGCTGAATCATTTGCCCCAGGAGCGCGCTTTCCTCTGGAGGGCGCACACGATTTGGACGTTGGCACCAATTCTGTCAGCGCCTACCGGATCAGTTCGAATGAATACTTCGATCTCAACACACCAACACGAAGTGACAGCAGTATAATTGTTGAGTTGTTATTGGAGAAGTCCTTGGACCGAGAAAAGGAATCGTCGTTTCATCTTGTACTGACGGCGATGGACGCTGGGAATCCGGAGCGATCGGGTACAGCTGAAATAATAGTTACAGTTCTGGATGCTAATGACAACGCGCCTGTGTTCGAGCACGAAAAATATGAAGTCAGCCTATTCGAGAATGTCTCGAAAGGCTTTCTGGTCATCCAGCTCAAAGCGAATGATGCAGATGAAGGTACGAATGCTGAGGTACAATACTTATTCAATACACATACTTCTCAAAGAGTGCGTCAGCTGTTCAGGCTGAATGCAGAAAGTGGAGAAATCGAAGTTCAAGGTGCTCTAGACTTTGAAGATTCAATTGTTTACGAAATTGAAGTACAAGCTACGGATAAAGGCACCTTAGCACTGGCGGGACACACTCAAGTCCGGGTCACATTAATTGATGTCAATGACAACGCTCCCGAAGTTAAAGTGACCTCAGTATCCAACGCAATCCCCGAAAATGCGACATTAGGTACTACAATAGCTATAATTAGTGTAACGGACAGAGATACTGGAGACAATGGGAGAACTGATTGTCAAGTGCTTATGAACATTCCTTTTAAACTCCATGAATCTCTAAAGAACCAGTATAAGTTAATTACCAGTGGCATACTAGATCGTGAAATGGTTCCTTTGTACAACGTGACCATCGTAGCCTGGGACGCTGGGACTCCATGTCTTTACACAAATAAAACTATAGTGGTGTCCGTAACAGATATAAATGATAATGCGCCAAGATTTACGCAATCTTCATATGCTGTATATGTGAAGGAGAACAATGCTCGGGGTTCTTCATTTTTTACAGTTACGGCTTTGGATCCTGATTTTGGAGAAAATTCGCGCGTATCCTATTCTCTTCTGGGTAACCAATACGAAGATGTTTCAGTTCCGAATTATATTGATATTAATTCCAACGATGGCAATATCTATGCGCTACGTTCTTTTGACTATGAAGAAATAAAAAGCTTTCAAGTTCGCGTGCAAGCAACGGATAACGGAATTCCTAAATTGAGTAGCAGCACTACTCTTACTGTGACTATTCTTGATGAAAACGACAATGCTCCCGTAATTATTTTTCCTTTAGTGAGAAATGGTTCAGCTACATTGCGAAAGGTACCTCAGTCAGCATTTCCTGGATATTTAATTGCCAAGGTAGTCGCGTCCGATGCGGATTCTGGACAGAATGCAAGACTTTCCTTTCAATTACTTGGAGCAACTGACACTGGCCTGGTCAGCTTAGGGTTTCACTCTGGGGAAATCAAGCTAGCACGGGCACTTACTGATAAAGATCTCACTACACAACGTCTGAATGTCCTCGTGAAGGATAACGGAGAGCCAAACCTTTCGAACAGGGTCTCCCTTTACTTTTCAATAATGAGCAGCGCTAACGAAACATTCGTTGAATCTCGTGACTTGCTCAAGAAAACCGAATACTTCTCAGATTTTAACTTGTATTTAATAATTATTCTGGGGACAATTTCCTTGATATTTTTTGTGACAATTATCGTCCTTTTTGTCGTTAAATTGCGTCAAGGTACAAATGTTCGTGGTTACAATTCTGGCTTTTGTTGTGCGCGTTCAAATTCTCTGGATACTTGCAATCAGAGACAGATTCCAGGAGAATATCTGAACTATCTTGGAGATAATCAGACAATCTCCGTTCGTGATCGTCAGCACTACAGGATGTATTTATCCGCAAGTTCGCCGGGGACTGACTTTTTCTTCATGAAACCTTTCGATGCAACTTTGCCCTGTAGTGCAGTGAAGGATGACACTATAAACAACTCGACAGAGCAACCTAAGGAAACAATTGCGTTGAACGATAAGTATTGCAAAAGGGAACAGTTAAATATACGTAGCCAAGATTGTTTCAAATGTGAGTTCAGTTCTCAATATCTGCTGCGTTTTCTAAGAATTCGTTAAAAAAAAGCTTCAAAAGTGCGAAAGTAGATTGAACCTCAGGCTATTTTCCAATGTCTGTTCTACAGTAATAAAAACGCCATCCACGTCTTCCCATATTTCTTCTTTTAATTTTACATATGACTGTGACATCTTTGTTGTTTATAACAGGATTAAATTAAAATCTCTCAATCGTGTTTTAACATTGTTCATTCGTAAGAATCAAGTAACAGTTTTCATCTTCTGACATTTCCCTCGTTGCCAAAATACATAGCGTTAGGTTTATAAAATGTTCTGGACTTACAGGTGATGCTAAACATAGTCACACCATCGTGTCATCTGTCTATCTTTTTGGATTTTCACTGATACCAATGTCAATACAATGTACTACCTTCGATCAGAACTATCAGTTCCGTTCAAGGTAAACCACAGGACAATAGAGAACAGTGAAAGTCAATAGTGAGTACACATTGTGTACAACAGGAAAGCTGAGGAGAGCGAGGACCATTCAGATATGGCTCGTCATCTTTGGACTATGTACGCCACTGCCAGGAAATCGAAAAGGCAGTCTGCTTTTTTTGAGAAAGGGGGCGGGTGGGACGAGGGTCGTGTAGGGAGGATCTCACGGTGGCCTTGATTTAGTCAATGCATCTGGTGAGTGTTCCGCCCGACCAGGCTTCACCAAAACTACTAACAAAGTATCTACTGGCCGATCCTGAACCAATGTGCCAGGTGTAACCTTTCTCGCCATCCGTTTCGCATACTCGACTGAACAATGCCCTAAAAAAGGAACTCATTATAGAATCAGATTTGAATACTGAAGTGATAATAGTGTTTTATAACATTAGGGCGCAACGTCAGTTTGGCTCCAAAGGATGGGTGCTATAACGTACACCCGACTGTCAGCCATAAATTTCGTTGCAATGTTGGTGTGAAAATTAAGTTTTCATCTTTTTCTGGGACGATTCCTTCCTTCCCAACGGCTAATTGAAAAGAAAATAAATGAAAATGTCTAAAATAGTTAAACATTTCTCACAATATTTGACGTAAAACTAATATAGTGAAATATGTTTGATCGCCAATCCATTGTTGACAGTGGGATACATCAACGGCGGAATGAAAAACTGCCCAGCGATATTCCTTTTATTACCTTAATCAACCTTTTGAGCATAAATATTGAGTGTTAATATACATTAGTCCAGACAGATTCTTGTTGTAGCAACATCAGAACGCCTTTAAAGCAGTGTGGAATTTTACATGTTCACTGACACTTGAGATGAACCACAAGCATTATAACCTAAACATATTATATATCGAGACGATTAGATTTTGCTTCGTGTGCTAGAATTCCATATAACATGCTCCAAACAACGGAGATAAGAATATTTATTGTAGTGAATGAACCAATTCATTAACTACATTTTGTCCCTTCTATAGTTATAAAAGGATGAAAAGCAAAAAGGATAAATAATTTAACAAATGTTCTTTGGAGTTTTTTTCTATGTATTAATGGGATTTAATTGCTGTAGCTGTATTTCAATTCAATCAGTCGAAAGTTTTATTGCCCATTTACCTGTCATGTAGCTATAACACGGAGACACGGTTTATATCTATGCGCTTCTATTAATATTATTCATGTATTATTTAAGCTAAAATTGAAATGTTTTATCTTTTATGCCACAGCATAGAACAACAAAATTTGGAAGATGGCAGCCTTCACTGGAATTCCCAAAATGATCAACAGCAAATCATCAATGCCATTGCAACAACATCCAACTAATGTCTTCCGTATATGTGTCCTGGAAGGATTTCTTTTTAATGACTTCATTATCCAAGATGCTTTTAATGATATTACGGCATTTCACAATTTATAACGTGGTAATAAATTTGCGCGTGTTTTTTGTTAGGTGATACGTAAATTTTGAGCTCAGAATTCTGTTTGAACTCCTTTCATCAAAGAGACCACTGAAATGATCAGTACTGTGCAAGACTGTTATGTACTTAATTATTGTAAGATGTTTTGAAGAAACTTGTATTTTGTATCCTGTAAATTTGTTAACCATTGACAAATATACATTTATGGACGCTTAAGTTATCTATCTGTCTGTTATGCATGAAAAGATGCAACGTGCAGCCAGTAATAAACTGTGAGCGAAACAAATTGTGAGTGAAGAAATACTTGGATAAGTTTGACAAAGAACAATTCTCATCAAAAATACCCTTATGTATTCATTAATGAGATTTATTTAACATTATTCACTCGTGAGATGTGGATGGCGCTGGTTGGGTCAGCGTTTATTGCCCCTCACTAGATACCATTGAACAGGTGGTGGTGAGATTCTAATTTATAAACTATTTGAAATCGTGAAACCAGATTTATTTTGCTAAATATAATATTTAATAGAGACTATGACAATTCTTAATCACAATGACTCATATTTAACAGAATTCTGATTTTTGTGGCAACATATCAAAACATGAGGAATTTACATCCAAGAGTAATCAACAGGTATGAATTATGAAATGAAAATGCTAGTCCACGATCATCTATAAACATTCAAACACACGAACTAGGAGCAGAAATAAGCTATTAAACTCCTCTAAATGGATTTTTTTCATATTTAAATATGACTAGAGAGAGTTACCCTTGGTATTTATAGAAATATAATCATTCAATAGAAGCAAATTATTGTAGATTGCGAAGATCTGAGGTTTCTTTTTAATGTTACAGAAACTAATCAGAGTTGCGAAGTTACCAGAGAGTCTGGAGCAATTGTCCAAGAATGGAAATCGGATTAGTAAAGTAAAATCGTTGTTATCCAGAGTGAACAAGATAGCCTGAACAGGCTCCTTCTGTGGTCTAAACATCTTCCAGTCCACGAAAATGCCAGCATTTGTGGAGAGATGAACAGCGTTAATAGGACTCTGCTTTAAAACTGAAGAGGGATAGAAAATTCTGAAGAAAGGTCCCGACCCGAAACGTCAGCTTTCCTGCTCCTTTGATGCTGCCTGGCCTGCTGTGTTCCTCCAGCTCCACACTGTGTTATCTTAGGGCTAGACAATGATGGTTTCACATTGTTGCCAAAGAAGAGTAGTAGAAAGTGCAGTAGGTGGTGATGGTGTCAAGAGCAAAGGTCAAGTGAATTATTATTGGTACAATTGCCACCTTTTCTCTCGTTCCTCCTCGCCTTTGCGAGCTGCATAAAAAAAACGTAATTTTCCATCCAATTCCATTCTGATGATGAGTCACATTCAACACAAAAAGTTAACACCGTTTCTCTCTCCACGGATGCTCTTAAACTTGCTGAGTTTCTCTAGCACTTTCTGATATTACAAGAAAATCTTTAACTTTGCTTGCCTCCATCCTTTTGATCTAAGCAGCTCTGGAAGTGCATTAGGTGGCTTTCCTCAATTTTCTTTTTAAATTGAACCTTAAATAATCTACCCCACCAGTAAACATTCAGAAAATACATCAGCAGATTAAATTGCTTTTCCTGTTTCCTAAATCATACCTAGTTTCCCTTAAATCATTTTTGGAATGGCGGAATAATCCAACGAGGGGATCTTGGGCAGGTGATCCTGTACCACCAAGGAAAATGTGAGGTGATTTTATTGAAATATTGATATGACATTATGTCTTAGGATGGAAGTAGGGAAGATGTCTTTCTTTTGTAGTAAAGAAAAACTCGAAGACATAGTTTAAGAATAATTGATCTCCCTCCCTAGAAAGACACAGAGAGTGTTCTTTAATTCTTTTGCAGAGTCTCCAGAATATTTTACTTCTGAAATGAAAAATTCTGTTCTGAACATAAGTCCATGTCCAAGCAGATGAGTTTTTGGTAGATGAAGGAATCGAAGGTTATGAGTAGACAGAAGTACGGTTGAAATCATAGCTGCATCAAGTAGTAACACATTTAATGCTGTTACATTTGGGTTGAAGGGTTAATCCGCTGTATCCCAATAAAGCTGTGTTGTAGTTGTCACTTTTCTTTTACCTAGCAATAAGCAGTTATAAATTATTTAAAAAATCACGATGTATAAATAAATAAAAAGGAAAACAGCAACTGAAATTTAAATGATAGCATGAACATAATTTCATAGGAGGCTATCAAACAAAAGTTGAGTCTGAACCTCACAGGGATACATTAGGGTAGGTAACCCCAGTTTATTCTTCAAAAAGTTATGTTTTGTGAAGGATTTAGATGGGGAAAGACAAAGTGAGATTCCCTGCCAGCAGTTGGGAATTTTATCAAATGTAAAATCTCGGATTTTGCAGAAAGGCCAAACTCCTTATGGTTATGATATGATAATACAATTAAGTAATTGTTTTTGTGTGTTTATTTTAACATTGCATGCAACTGGAGTGTTAATTGAATAAGCTAACCAAAAGGCTAGCTGGTCCAGGGTTATTATAAAGACAAATTATTTAAGTATATATAAACACCAACTACTATATCTGTAAAGGACATGTCAAGAAGTGCTTTCCAAAATCTCTTGACAGTAAAATGCAAAGCTACACGAGTCATACACCTTGTGGCCAATAGAGAAATTTTACATCAAAAATAAATATATCTTGAGTTACATTATATCTTGTTTTTGGTAAATGTGACATGCAGAAAGAATTTTATGCATGCATAACTTGGACATGCATCTTACGATTTCATGTCATTTCTGTTGGGTGACGAGCACATATATCAGAAGACATTTTCGCAGTGATGGTCCAGGTGTTCACACAATTCTTACAGTGTGGACGCAAGCCATTCAGCCTATTCAACCTGCCGAAGAGCATTGCACCCTGACTCAGTGCCCTACTTTCTTCCTCTAACCCTGCATATTCCATGACTAATCCACCTAGCCTATACATCCATGGATACTGTTGGCAATATAGTGTGGTAAATTCACCTAATCAGCGTACTTTTGGAATGCAGCAGGCAGAATGGGCAAACTCCACACAGACAGTTGCAAAAGGATGGAATC